AAAATATTTTTTTATTTGATTAACGTTATTAGTAACTTATTTAAAATTTGAAAGATAAATAGTAAAAAAGTTATAATACCAAAAAGAATCTCAAATATTCTACATTTAATTATGACTCTCTTTAAACGATTATGACCTTTTCTTTTTATCTTTGTAATAGTTATTTACTCTTTAAAACACTTTTTATTATTATTCAATTTTTATGCAAGCAATATATATATACTTCGAATAAAAAGTACTTTGGTGATATTAATAAGGAAAAATAACCTTAAAAAATCATTTACGTTTAAATAAATTGAATTTTAGCCAATATTAATCTCCTAAAGGAGAGATATAACTTTTAAGATTGAAAAATAGTAAAATAATTTAGACAATTCTCAAGAAAAGGAGAGAAGCAAATAATGACATAAAAACAATTTAAACAATTTATTTACATTATGACATATCATTATATAAGTTAAACAACATTTGATAAAGAAGAAACATACAATTAGCTACTGACAATAACCTATTTTGACCTGTGTAGTAATTATTGGCTCGATAAACTTTTCACGTGAGTCACGTATAACTTGTCCCGTTCTAAAACTATCTTTTAAATAATACAATAATTAATTATATTAACTTTGAATAACAAAAATTGGTTATCTGTTCTAAAACTACATTCTTAAAATACTTTTTTTTTGAAAAACTATTCAAATGCATCATTTTTTTCAAAGAATAATTTAATATTTTTCTCATCGAATCATTATCTGTTCTTAAATGGTGTTTAATTTAATTAAAAATAAAACTTTTTCCATAGATCTTAGACGTGTAGACTTACTTTGCACTTGCCAATTTAAGAAAATAACTTTCATTATTGGCCTAAAATTTGAATCTAATTAGTGATTAAACTAAAAATGCAAGCATCTTTACTAACTAATCTGATAACTTCAAATTATACTATTTCCTATATTCTATAGTGCCTGGTCAGCTTAAGTAATATATAATCGATAGTTTAAGTATGATTTTGAATTCAAATTTTATGTACAAACCAATCTTACTAAAAAAATTAATACTATTATATTATAAATTTTTATTTGAATAAAATTATGTTCTAAAAAAAGTACTTGCAGTCTTAGAAAAATATTTCCCATGTCATTGCGATAAAACTAATTTCATTAAGCTTGAAAATATATAATTGTGCAAGATAATCCTTTCCAGTGTCAAGGGACTAGTTCCTATCCTATCCATTGAAGAAAATATCATAACATTATCATAACGAAATAGATTTATTTTTTTAAAGTTTAAATTGTGCCATAATGGAATGATTATTGAGAATAAAATGTGATTAGTGGATGCAGTCTTATAGCTTTTGTGTGTTCAAATACATACCTTATTTAAAAATTTTAAACGATAATTTACACTAAAATTTTAATAATAAAATTTATTATGAGGTAACATTCAAAATAAGTCCCACTAATTTGATACATATAGTAAAAATTCATAATTCACACGTCTAGCATTTTTTCACTTCTTGTGGCTTAATTATTAATTAATCCCCAAAGAATTTTGATGGATCGAAGAGGCGTATTACATTTTTTATCACTTTTTATTCGACTAGAGAGAGTGAAAGACTGATGAAAAGAAATTCAGATAAAATTATTAAAAAAATATTTTGATTAATTAAACTTTTGAAAATTTAATATTTTATTGAGTTGAATAACATCATATAATTTGTGTAGACGATTTTACTTAATAAAATAAGACTTAATTATAATTGTTGGAATTGAATAAGCGCATCAGCAAAAGAAAAAAATAAAATAATTTAAGGAACAAAAACCGAACATCAATTCCAACATAAACACGCGACAAATTTGAGTTGCTTGAGGGCAGCAAAACATCACCATGGACAAGTTTCCAAATGTCGCAATAAATGGTGCACAAAATGACCATTGCCACCAAATACTAGAGGAAATGTCTATTTAAGAAAATTTTAAAATTCTTTTCCTATTTATATAATTATAAGAGAAAGTTGATAAAAAGATAAAAAAAATTAGTTAAATAAAAATGATAATAAATATTTAAGAGGAACAATAAACATACCGCACTGTAGAGAAAGAGAACAATAATTTATTAGTTTATAATTGAGAACAATTTGGTCATATTGACAAAGAGTGTTAGAAACACCCTATTTGACAAAAAATTTTAAAAAAAGTTTTTAGAGTTTATTAGTTAATCTCAAACTTTCACCATTTTTTTATAAAAATATTCTATTATTAATTAAAATGAATAATATAAACAATATAGTAATTAAAATAAATATTCACCATCTTTTGAATTATATTGTATCATAATCTCCTAAAGTAGTCAACAATATAAACCTATCATCTAGCCACAATAAAAGTAAGAAGAAAAAAAATTCAAGTAGTGAGGATAATAATTTAATAAATTATTTAACAATATAAACTATAAATTTAATCGCTATTTAAAGTAACGTTTAAAAAAAATATAAAATAAACTTATTTGCAAAATATCTCTATTTTAGTCAAATAATATAAACTAGCTGAAGCCTTAAAGGATCTATTAGCCTTTGACACCTCTCAACGTAGAAAATTAAAATGACGAATGTTTGTTAAGATTATATTTTGATATTTTTAAAAAATTAAGAGAATGACCGATACGATTTTAAGAATTAAAATAAGAATTTATTCAATTTTATAACATATTTACAAATATAATAAACTCAAGAACCATTTACATACCACAAAATATTACAAGGCAGCATAAATTTAACAAAAAATAATTGTTAAGTTTTATATTTGAAATTAATTTTGATTGGATGGTGAATTTTTTATAATATTATTATTATTAAAATAAATTTTATTGTCATCGAGGTATTCCTTGATTGAAAATAAAATAATTTATTTTATAAAAATATTAAAGTAAATATAATTTTCTCAAATAAAGTGTTTTTTACACTCGATTATAAATTAGACTTTAATTGAAAATTTTAAAATAATTATCTACTAATTATTTCAAAATTTGTTAGCAATTTATATTTTTGAATACAATTGATTAAAATATATTTTTAAACCACTTTTTATAAAAAAAAACACTTTTTGTAATTTTTCTGTTGTTGCTCACCATTCAAATTAAAGTTTAACTTCAATAATGTATGTTAACTTTTAATGATGACTTTTATTAAATATATTGTTGAAATAAAACTCTAATTCTAATTTAAAATATTTATAATACTGCATTTAAGTTTTGTAAAAAAAAAAAAAAGTTTACACTTTCTAATACATTCACGATTTCTGAAGTTTTACTTGAATAATTTGTGGGTGATACCTAATATAAGAAATATTTTAATATTTATAATAAGGTAAGGTAAAAGTAATTTTTCATTTAGTAATAGAATATATTTTTTTGTTGAGAAAAATATTTTTAAAAATACTAATTTATAAACAAGACTGAATACGTTCTCATTTTCACAAGTGAGGAGAAAAATTTTGTATTAATTGAATGAAAAGTTAATAATTTTTTCAAAATAACAAATAATAAGTTTTCAGCATAAAAGAATAAAAAATAAATTATTTTATAAAAATTTTCAGAGCATCTTATTATTAGGAAAATAATTTAGTCGAGAACAAAAGTTTTTTTTTTTTTTTTTTTTTTACAAATATAGGGACCACAATTTCTACTATTAATAATGATTGAATAATTGGCATACTTTTTTTTAGCTAAACATAGTATATCCATCTTCACGTGTCTAATATGGTATAGGAAGTAAAATTTATTAAAATTTTAATTCAAATATGTTGAAAGTATAATTTTTTTATTATTTAATTATAGTTTTTTTTTTCTACACTCTAAGTAGTCTTCATTGGTAATAATCCAGTTCTAGTCGAATAAAATCATTATAATAATATGTATGAATATGATTGGGTATAAAAATATTAATTTATATAATAATTAATATAAAAATTATATTTATAATATATTTTAATTAATTGATAATAAATTTTTATATTAATAATATACTCAAATTAAAGTTATTTATTAATTAAATTCTATAAGATTTAACTAAAATTTTTAAAAATAAATATTTATAATTTAATTATTTTTTAAATTATTAATTATTAAGATAGATAAAAAATATAGAATACATTTATTATATATTTTAAAAATATCAATTAAATTAATATCTTATGCATTAAATAAATAGATACATTAATTTATATGATTAATAGATATATTTTTTGTTCAAATAAATTTTACAATATACAGAAACATAAAAAAAATAATATTTAATGCATAAAAAATAAATATTTAATCTTATATTTTAGGTAAAATTATTAATAATTTTTTTTATAAATGAGCAGAAAAAATATATCAAAATCTGAAATTTATTTACATTTTTTCAATACTTCAAACTTGTAAATAATTTTTTTTTAAATAAGGATGTAACAATTGGAACATTTTTTTATATATAAATTTTTTAAAAAAATTCAAAAAATATGTAATTTTTTGTAAAATTATAGAAATATAATTTTTTTTAAAAATCATTATTGACAATTTTTGACTAAAACTGTCACTGAGAACTTCTGATGTACTTTTTAAATATTTAATTATTTTTTAAAAAATTACTATTAATAATTTTTAAGATTTTATTATTATTTTTTATTTTTAAATATTTGTACTGCATACAAAATTGTTAATGATGATTTTTGAAATTCATATTATCATAATTTTACAAAAAATTTCATAATTTTTGTATTTTAAAAAATAAAAATCATATAAAAAAAAGTAGCCTGTAACAATGTTTAATTAAATTTACTAATATCCTTTAAAGATTCATAAAAAGAAAAAGATAATTTCGTTTTAACGTAATATTTTTCCCCCATAAGTAATAACAATTCAAGAACACAGAACAATAACAATAAAGTAAAATTCCTTTAAAACCCTTTTCCCCGTCCTGCTTTTCTCTGTTCTTCATTTCTTCTTCTTCATCGTCACCATTCACCATACTCTCTCTGTGACACTGACACTGTTTCCTTGCTTCACCCCATTTACTCAAATAACCTTTTTCTCTCTGCTCCTATTCTCACTCTTACCAATTAGTACTATTCCGTTTTTGCTCCAAATTTAAACCCAGCAAAGAGCATCCACAAAGCCACCCCATTTTCCCTCACTTCCAATCATACCTTTTAGTGACACCTCATACTCCTTAACTTCGTGTCCTTTCCCATCCAATTAACCAATTAACAAGTGTGTTGTTCATTTCTCAACGTTCAAGTCTTCTCTCTTTAGCTCAGTTTCTTTTCATCTAAGTTGTTGGTTGCTAAGAAAAGAAAAGATAAAAAAGGAAGAAAACTTCCATTTGGGTCATGAGATTTGGTGCATTCAAGTTCAACATTCTCTAGTTTTGAGCTCAAGCTTTTTCACTGTATCTGATTTACTTAGATCTCTCTCACTCTCTTCATCTCAAAAAATGCCAAGATAACTCTTCTCAGTTACAAATAGTCTATTTTTTTCATTACTTTTGGGTTGGTCTCATCTTATAGTCTTGTTATTGAAACCAATTGAGACATTCAAGGTTGCCCTTCTGCAACACCCTTCTTTTGTTTCTTAAAAATTTGAACCTTGAAAAGTAATTGCATTCTACCAATGTGCTCCTCCTTAGTCTAATTTGGTCCCATCCCTTCATAAAGTTCCAATTTTTAGTCCTAAAATTCATCTTTTGCTGGTTTTTTGCTCAAGGATAAGAAGGGCTTCTACCTTGGAATCTTCGTTCTTCCTTTTGCAGCTATTAGTCATACAAAGGTCTCAACACTGTCCAATTTCTAGTTGCTTTGACAAATTTATGGCGCTGCATTGTCAATATGTTGCAAGTTTGTGTGATGCTCATGGTAGCAGTATTGTGGTAGCTTATTGAATTTCTGAGTTTTGGACTATTCTTTGAAGGTACCAAACGTGTACATTTTCTTCCGTCCTTGATTCATTTTGAAAATTTATTCCAAGCCCTTCGAATTTGACATCATTCTCTACCTGAAATTCTATGAACTCTGTGTTTTTGAGCTCTTATTATTGATTGCACTGCTGAACAACTCTTTGGCCTCGATTCTTCAACATCTATCACCTGTAAATGTGACTTAGGCAGTAGGATTCATTGTTATATCTCTTAATTTGTCCCTCTGAACATATATAGATATGCATGAGCAGAAGTATCTCCTTATATCACCATTGTTGCTTTGCATTTTTGCTGGTTTCTTGCTACATACTGTTGTGACAACTGTGATACCGTTGGGTTCTAAACTTTCTGTTGTTGACAATAATTGTTGGGTTTCCCCCCATGGGGATTTTGCATTTGGGTTCTTTAACATTTCAGATGAACCTAACCAGTTTAGTGCTGGCATTCGTTTCAATTCAAAGTCTATATCAAGTGACCAACAAAAAGTGGTTTGGGTTGCTGGTGCTCATGTCACAGTAGGTAACAGATCCTATTTCCAACTCACTCCCGAAGGGGAACTGATCCTGTGTGATTCCTCACAAGGATTCAGCATATGGACCAGTGGAACTGGCAATAGAGGCGTTGTTTCAGCGGCTCTTCACGATAATGGCAATCTTGTTCTGATAGACTCAGAGCAAAACATCATTTGGCAAAGTTTTGACACTCCATCTGATACACTCCTCCCAGGACAGAGTTTATCTGTTTATCAGATACTTCGGGCTACAACCAAGAACCCTATGTCCAGTTATTACAGTCTTTACATGAATGCTTCAGGTCAATTGCAGCTTCGCTGGGAGAGTAATATCGTATACTGGACAAGTGAGAGCCCTTCTTCTGCTTCAAATCTCACTGCATTTCTTACTTCAGGTGGAGCTTTGCAACTTCGAGACCAAAGTTTGAAAGCTGTTTGGAGTGTGTTTGGAGAAGACCACAACGATTCTGTGAATTACCGGTTTCTTAGGCTAGACGTGGATGGCAATCTCCGCTTGTATTCGTGGATTGACGCTACACAATCATGGAGATCAGTCTGGCAAGCTGTTGAGAATCAATGCAAAGTCTTTACAACTTGTGGTCAGCGTGGTGTCTGTGTCTTCAATACTTCAGGTTCAGCTGATTGTAAGTGCCCTTTTGAGGCAACTGAAACCAACAAATGTTTGGTTCCGTATGATGAGGAGTGTGGATCTGGCTCTAATATGATAACGTATAAGAACACGTATCTGTATGGTATTTACCCTCCTGATGATTCTGTTATCATAACTAGTTTGCAGCAATGTGAGCAGTTGTGCCAGAATGACAAGCAGTGTACAGTTGCTACCTTTTCCAACAATGGTACTCCACAATGTTCCATAAAGAAAACTAAGTATGTTACTGGCTACGCAGATCCATCTCTAAGGTCGATTTCTTTTGTTAAGAGGTGCTCAGGTCCATTTGCTGTAAATCCTAGTCTCACGAAATCACCTCCACAGGAACTGCCTCCTAGGCTCTGTGTTTCTTGTCTAATGGGAGCAGCCTCAGGAACATTTTTCATCTTTGCTGTGCTCCAGCTAGGAGTTGTTTTCTGCATCTACAGAAGAAAAAACCGTACAATGAGAAAAGTCACTTTAGCTTTTGGAAATCCAGATTCAAAGGGCTTATTTGTGTTATCCTTCTCAGAAATCAATAGTTTCACTGGGAATCTCAAGAATGAAATTGGGCCAAATATGTTCAAGGGTATGCTACCGAACAATCACCTGATTGTAGTTAAAGACCTGAATGCATCCATAGAAGAAAGGAAGTTCCGTAGTGCTGTTCTGAAATTAGGGAACATCCACCATAAGAACCTTGCAAAGCTGGAGGGTTATTGTTGCGAGTTTAACCATAGATTTTTGGTGTATGAATATCCCAAAAAGGGTTCACTGGACAAGTATATAAATGATTGTGCTCTTTGCAAGAAGCTAACTTGGAGAAGAAGAATAGAAATATGCTCAAGTGTGGCAAAGGCCATTAGTTATTTGCACACCGGGTGTAGGGAGTTTGTGAGCCATGGGAATTTGAAATGTGAAAATGTCATTTTGGATGAAAATTCAATTGCCAAGGTGTGTGAATATGGGTTCACAATAGTGGAAGGTGAGGCCACATATTGTGGCTTTTCAGCTGAGAAAGATGTAGGGGATTTTGGAAAGTTAGTATTAACATTGTTAACAGGGTGTGAAGAACATGGACAACTTTGTGAGTGGGCATATACAGAATGGATGGAAGGGAGGGCAGTTAATGTTGTTGATTCAAGAATTGACGGTGTTGCCAATTCAGAGGAATTGGAACGTGCATTAAGAATCGCATTCTGGTGCCTTCAAATGGATGAACGTAGAAGACCTTCTATGGAGGAGGTAGTGAGAGTACTAGATGGTACATTGAATGTTGATCCCCCACCACCACCATTTATCTTGCAGAGACAGGAAGATGATCCACAAGAAAATTGTTCAGAATCGGTGATTTAGTAGTGTTTATGCCAGCTCAATTTTTAGGAATTTCTCATTTATTTTACATTTTTGGTTACCTTCATCATATTCAATGTGTATAGTAGAACTAACATAGATGTGAAAAATAGCCATGCCCATTATTTTTGGTCCCTCAACCTATGTGGGGCAGTGACTGTAAACTCGAAGACTTTGTTGTTCATTTCAGATTTGCGGCATCTGCCTGAATATAGGACTCCATTTGAGCACATACTAGAGACTGAGCATTGTATTTTTATTTTTTTGTGGTTATGTTTGAAGATTGCTTAGTTTCAGTTTGTCACTTGAAGCACAAAGTAGGCTATAAGATAGAGCCTCACTTTACAATTCTGGTGAATTTCTGTTCTATTTAGTCTTAATTTTAGGAGTAATGATATATTAAGGAGTGCTAGTTACACACACACACACACACACACACTTGCTTTTTGGTTGAAATTTATGATAGTATAGATGAGAATTATTAAATTAGGAATCAGACATATATTTTTTGTGATTTTGAATAAATTTTAGTTAATAATCATGAATGTGTTTGAAAAAGTTTACTAAATAGTATATTGCTCATATTTTCTTGTAAAAAGCACAATGTTTACATATTGAATACAAATGCGTTGTAATCGTAGATTACTAAGTAAGGGTAATAATCTGGAAGCACTTTAACATGCTACTTCATAAAATTTGTGATGTCTATTTTCCTTAGATTTGAACACTTTATGCAGTGAGATGGTGATTGCCACTGGTCCGAGCTACATTTGTTTCAAATGGATAAGAAACCATTTGGTTATAATATTTGATGCAATGACATGATAACTCAATTCTCTGGCTTTATGTGATAAGGAATTATTTAGGGTATGTTAATGCCTACTCTTGGAGGAAATAAAATTTAATCCTAGACAGCAAAAAAATTAAAAGCATGGCTTCGAAATTTGGGATGAATATGTGACGCAATTGATTACTAAGTCTCTTGTAGATATATTTTGAAGCGAGACCATGGTACAACCGTTTAGTCCTCCAAAAGGAATGTGTTATATTAGTCTCCTTAAAAAATCTTGCATATACTTTCTCATACATCGGTTTAGTAAACATTGTTATCGTTAGACACTTAGAATAAGGATATTTATATAAGGTACGACTACAATTAACCTAGTGGGCTTTGGTATCCCCCAAGCTTCATAGAATATTTTGTTTTTGTGGATAGGATAAACAACTTGCCCGTCTAGCTCAGTCGGTAGAGCGCAAGGCTCTTAACCTTGTGGTCGTGGGTTCGAGCCCCACGGTGGGCGATTGCTTTTTAATTTTTAGATTTACCTTCGGAGGTTAAAAATTGTTTGATGATTCTAAAGAACATTGACAAGGGACAGTCATGAGCAATTATTATTTTGAATTTAAGAGAGCAGTGTTGGAATAAGTTCTGAGGAACAAGTGTTTACTACTTTGTCGTTAGATTCTATATATGCCAATTCTGAATCATAAAGATCACAACTTTCAAACCGTAATCACCACAAAGGTATTTGATAGAATAAATTAACATTAAAAAATCATTGATTATTACTCTATACCGACTTTTTTACCTCTTCAGATTCTCTTGTTTATTCATGATGTATACTAATTCAATAAAAGATCGACACGTTTTTATCAGTTGTTTTTTTGTCTGAATTTTTGTTTTGGATGAAATTAAATTTGTTTTATCCAGAAAATTATTGTCACATACCTTGCAGCGTATATATAATGAGAGAGAACAGAGAAAGTTATAAACATAATAGGTGATAGAATCGTAAAGAAAAAGAGAGGTATAAAAAAATAAGATGTATAAAAATTTGATTATATTTTTTTTACTGGATTTAATTTGAATCTAATATACAGTGGATAAGTATACCTCTAAAGATTTTTTTTGCATACACAAGAAGTAGAATCCAAAATTTTACTTGAGTGATATTAAGTCACTTACTACTTAAACTAATTTTTGTTAATAAATTTAATTATATTTTTTATAGTATATAATCAAACTATATATATATATATATATATATATATAAATAAGTGATTAATTAATATTAATTTGTCTTTAAAGACAAATGTATAAGTATCTAAAAAAATATATGACTAGTATTTGTAATTCTTAAAAATGAGTAGGACTTAATTAATGCATTGGTTACCATATTTCTAAAAGTCAAATTGAAAAGTCTATATCAGAAATTTCTCTTTAGGCTTCTACTTTAAAAGGTTCAGTTGTTCAAAAAGGGTTTAAATTTCAATACAATAACATCATATTTTAGAGTTAAAGACAAAAAAATAAAATTAAGAAATCCTATATAATTAAGAATGACTTTTATTATAATTACTTCATGTAATTTTCTTTCACGATATTATGAGAAGATTTTGAAACGTTGAAAAAGAAAAGAGAAAATGTTTTTTTTTAAAGCTTATCTCTCCCTGTTTGCGGCTCATTCTACTTTTTCTTTATAAATAATAATATTAAGTGGGGTTACCCTTATATTACCTTGAGCAAAAAGGGGATATTCCAGTTCATAGAGGGACATAGCTGGCTCCGGCGCCTCGAGAGTTTTCCATCTTATCAGGATTTGGTAGAGCATATACAATAAAATTTAATTTCCTAGTGGTAGTAGTTTTGCCATTGTAGCATATGATTTCATATTTACATGATATATTATGTCAGGGCAAGAACTTTTCAACCTCCATTGTAGCATATGATGCTTCTCATAACCACAATATATATTTGCTGCTGAGTGATGACTCTATGGTTTCTCTCACAACAACACCTGGTTTTGGAAGAAAGCAAACAAAGTAAGGGTCTTATTTTGTGTCAACCTTTAGATATGCAAACTGAGCTTTTCAACTAATTTTTGTACAAGAGTTTAGCGTGGACCCTTTTTGGGATTTGGCTAGAGATGGCGTCAGCTTCTACAAGAACTATAATGAAGTGGCAAAATCTTGAAGAAACAAAGCAGCACAAATCAATGACAAGGCCATGTGAGTATGCTACTTCTTCAAGCTTCCAAGAACAACAAGGTACTAAGAATGTTGAGGAGGATAATGAAGAAGATTTCTGCTCAAGTGGCTGTGCCACACCAAAGGGTAAAAGGTTCAGAATACCAGAAGTGTTGACATGTCCCTCAGCTCCAAAGAAGAGAAGGGTAATGCCTAATTGCTCATCAAATAGACCCCCAATAACATTTTTTGCATCACCGGATATAGAGTTGTTCTTCTTTTCTGCACTCAGAAATGTTTCAGCTTGATGCTTCAAGTTTACTACCAAGAGAGTGTGAAGTTCAGTTCACTTCACTTCAGTAGGTGACTATCTTAATTGCTGATCATTGGAAGACACAAATGTTTCTAGGACTATTTTGTAGTGTGCACTTACGTCCTTTGATTGTTAGGCAAGACTTTTTTTGTGCTTAAAATTTCTCTGATTTCTGTTTTGGTTTTGCTGGCTGAAGTGTGGTGCAATTTCTCTATATTTCAAACCATGAAGCTCTTTAGTCCTTACATTTGCAAGCATGTAAATTTGATTTATCTATTGTCTTTACCCTTCACAGTGTTTTCACTTGTCAAAGGGCATGTAATTTCAATTTGTATCATATAACTTTGACATCATTCTGGAAATATGTATTGCCTGCCGAAGGACTTGACTGCGTTTGGCGTAATCAATATAATTTGCGTTATTATAATAAGTTGATTAATTAATATATACTTTGCTTGGTGAATATATGTGTTGATAAATATGATCATCTTTCAAAAGATAGACTTATCTAATAATATTAATTTTCTTTTGCTAGTGTCATCTCCACATAACATATAAAAAAGAGGGAGGAAAAGCAACTTTTAAATGCGGAAGTGAATGTTTTTTATTTTGAATATTCCTTCATGTGGTGCTTGTGATCTCTTTTCATCTTTTCTTTTTGTCACTATGGTACTGATCAAATGCACTCCACACATAATGCAGCTACAATCTTTGTTATGGAAAGTCTTGTGTCATATTATTTTTGCATATATATATTCTTTATGCAGTGCATGCACCCAGAAGTGCCCAGTATACTTTATAGGATTAAAGTTGCATCTATTAGAAATATTAAAATGAGCGGTGAATTAAAATGCTGCCTATCATCATCATTGTCACCCTTACCTTTGACAGTACTAAAAAAGAATAGAAAATGGAAATAAAATACAGCATCTGCAGCTGAAAATGAGAATCCAAAGATGAATTGCTTTGTGATGGAATATGCAACCAAAAAGTGATATAGTGCTGAGTGCATAAGTGATGCTAGTTTTGCGTTTATCATATGATGAGTTTGATGACCGGAATGTGTACTACATGAGGAAACACAGGAGAGAAAGAGGGAGGACACGTGGAACAGCAGAATCCAATGAAGAATTAAGCTCGTATTGTATTGTATGGACATAAAAGTAAACAGAGTTTCAAGGACTACCAACATTTTAAGGATAACAATCCGAACACAACACATATCTTAAAAAAACATTGCAACGAGGAGGAATTAGAATATTACGAGGATGAGTGCAGATATAACTACTTTGATATCAATGTTACTCTACACCTACATAAATTGTATTATATTTTATTTTTAAAAACAAAAAACTGTTTTTTAAAAAAGAAATAAACATGCTCTTAATTTTTAAAATTTAATACGGTACACATATTTTCTCATTTTCAAAATTAGAAATTCTTTTAATTAGAATCCACTGCTGTCTTTCTACTGTTTTCAACTTTTCATTAAACTAAACCAAACGCATTTAAACCTTTTTATTCTTTTTTGGAAAAAAAAAGTAACCAGCTAGTAGCATGTTAGTTCCATCTTAGATTTCAAAATAAAATTTATTTTAAAAAACTGAAAAAAAAGAAAGAAGTAATATATATGTGTGTGAGAGAGAGAGTCCGTGTTTTTTAATAAAAAATTTACTTTTAATTACTTCACTTTAGTTCTCTTATTTTTTTAAGCGTTAATAAGATATTTTTAAAATTGTTAATTACAATTTATAAATTCTACTTTTAATTTTTAATAAATTTTAACGAGAAGAATGTCTATATACTCTTGTACCTCGGCTTTAGGCCGAAATGGGCTTCAATCTGTATGGGGAATGTTAATAGAATGAAAAAACAAGTTGGGCCTTGTTGTATTGCTTTTGGGCCTTGTTTGTTCTCCCTTTAGTAAGAAAACTAATTAATTTCATCATTACTGTAAAGTGATTACGGCGGTTAAATAAATTTTAAATTTTTTTATTAACAATATGTAAGTAAATAATTAGTTAATAATGCGTTAAAACCCAATCTCTGAATTAAATATAATGATTTTGACGTAACCGTTTCTACCTAAAGCTTTCTTTTACCTGTTGATATTAATAAAATCATATCTATATTTAAACGAAAATTTCATAAATAATATGTTGCATCAAAGAATTTTTATTTATGAAATTTTACAAAAAATAAAAAATAATTAATAAGTAAATAAATTTAATTATTTCAATTTATTTAAAAAATTTAACAAGTGAAGTCATTAATGATATGCAGGGATAGGGTATTTTTTTGAATGAATATTTTTAAGTTAAACGATGGTAGGTTTTACAATTGCGACAGTGTAATTAGTAAATAGTGATACGTTTAAATCAGCACAAGTACATAAAGATGCAGACAACGCATTAGAAGAAAAAAAGAGAGAGATTTAGATTCAAAGGAAGAAGTAAAACACGTGGATTGTTTGTTGACTGTGAAAGCTTCACAAATAGTAACTTACCCAGCATAGATGTTTGTTAGCTCAGAAGGACAGTAATGGCTAACGTGGTCCCGTGAAGCCCGTTGAGGGTACCCACAGGCAAAAAGTTTGGCCTGGAGGTGGCCAAGTTGCACCACCACCCAACTCTGCTTTGGTATTATTTGGATTTTCTCATATTTTCATAGTAATATAACATGGATATTTTAAGGCAAAAAAACAACTTAATTTTTATGTTCTTCAACTTAAAAAATTTTATAATTAATCAAAATGGGTCATTTTTTAATAAATTTATGTGGCAAATTTACTTTGATGTGTGGTGTCTAGCAGGAAGCTTCCCCATTAATTCCCACCTTTCCACGTTGGTTCAAAATTGAAAGGCACAGAAGTACCCCACTACCCACCCCAAATAAAATGTAGATATCGGCATTAGATAAAATAAAAATATGTGGAAAAACACAGACCATGCACTTTCGAATGGTAAACCAAGGCCAACTTTGAATAGACACATAGCCCAGTAAGGCACAAACACACATATGTTATGTCGGTATCACAATCCAATTACAGAAGATCATAGCCAAACTGGTCGATGTGACAAGACTTTTCCTCGTGGGTTCATAACTCCCAACTGAAAACTGCATTAACGACCTTTACCAATTGTTCTCTCCTCTCTATCCCCCAACTTGTAATTATTATTATTATTATTATTCCTTTAGTGTAAAGACTAAAGAGAAGATATGCTTGTGCTTACTGTTTATGTTATAACGAAGGGATAGACACAAACAGAGACATAATATTACAATAAGGGTGTTCAAAATATCGCGATTAAAAGTTAGAGTGATTAAAAGAAGTAATCTAATTCTAATGCAACATCATTAATTAAGAAGAAATGAAAAAGATAATTGCTAATGAAGTTAAACGTAATTAATAAACAACTTACTCAGGGTGGACAGTTAAAAATTAGAGGATTAAAATAAAAAAAATTATAGACCAAATCAAAATTTTTAAAAAATTAAGATATTAAAGTAACAATTTTACTTTTCAAAAATAAATAAGTCTTTTCATTAAAATTTTGTTATCTTCAAATATGCAATTAAACCTCCACAATGACTATTTTTTATTTTGAAGGGGAAAGTTTTTGAGGGAAAGAGAAAGAAAAATAATTTTTTATTTTAAATAAATATATTTCAAATGAATATATTAATATAAATTTAATATATATTATCATAAAAAATGATATATAGTTACTTTAGTTTAAAAATAAATATTTTCCTCTAATTTCCTTTTAAAAATGCTTTTCTAAGACAATATGAAAAGTAAAATGAGTTGTAAACAATGAAATAACTAAAGTTTAAGAGTGGGAAATGTTCTAACACCCCTTCGTGAGTTATTGTAGAAAATATTACAAGGTGTCTCCTTTTTTTAAGCTTTGATGTGAAATAAAGAGAAAAATACAGACGGATGTAATAATTGTTTTGAAAAAAGTTAAAATAATTAGAGGGCTTTTTTATTTAAATAATGTAAATTTAAAAACAAATTCTTAATATATAATTTTTTTAAAACAATTTCTCTGTCTGAGTGTGTCAGTGCACGTGGCATTAGTTTCGTCAATGCAATTGGTGAAAATATTAAATTTTTATTTTTTTAAAAAATAAATTTCACTACAAAAAATGCGAAATAATCATATTGTGACATTGTCAACATTTACAAAATTTTACAATATGATTGGCGAAATTAGATACCAATTTCGCCATACAAAGTACGAAACTCTTATATTGTGACACGTGTCATGATTTGAGTGAGTTTCGCTATAAAAATTGTACAACTTGCAGGAATCTGACACGTGGCACAATTTTAAGTTATTACGCAAATTTACCTTTATTAATTTTAAATCTGATTTAGATTTAGATGCAAATCATTACCACAGTTAAAATAAAAATCAAATTACTAACATTCCACTAAAAAATATTTTTTTTATTTACATATAAATTCAAATTACATATTAATTAAATAAATTTAAATTACTAACATAATTAAATTATTACATTATATAGTAAAAACTAGTATTATAGTTTTATAAATGTTACCGATCTCATATAATAATAATAGATTTATAAAATATCATGATTATATTATAATATAACAACATGTTATTATACTATTGTAAGATATTATACTATTTTTAAAAAATAAAATTTTCGAATACAACATAATATAACAATTATTATTGATCATATCAAATAATATATTTTTATATTATATAATTTTTTTGTAATATACAAAAATTAATGTTAATCTAAAAATTAAAAATATTTATGCCCATACATTTCAGTGTTAAATTTTATTTAAAGTAAAAAAAAATATTTTTAATCTTATTTTAAAATTAATTTAAAATGTTAAAATTATTTTTTAGCAATATTAATATTTATCATATATTTTATATAATTTGTAAATACTAATATTTAAATAGAAATGCTTTTTAAAATAATATTAAATGAGGATGTTTGTAGAAGTATTTTTGAATAAGGGTAATTTCAAGCATTGATTTTTTATTATCATGTTAAATCTTTTTTGCACATGAAATATTTTTGTATTTTATATTGATTTTAATCTTATATTTTATAATTTAATTAATATAATAAAATATTTATGGTTGATAATTGTAATATTTTTTTAAAAAATTTATAAAATATATTAAATTTAAAAATAAATATGTAATATATTTTTATTATTGATTTAAAATAATTTAATTTAATTTAAAAATATTAATGTAATATACGAAAAATTTAATAGTAATTTGTAATCATAATTGGTATCTAATTATAAAAATTTTAATTATGTTAGTGATTTAAATTTATTTAATTAATATGTAATTTGAATTTATATGTAAATAAAAAAAATATTTTTTCATGAAATATTAGTAATTTAATTTTTATTTTAAATGTGGTAATAATTTGCATCTAAATCTAAATCAGATTTGGTTTGATTATGTTATTAAAATTAATAAAGATAAATTTGCGTAATAGCTTAAAATTGTGCCACGTGTCAGATTCCTAACAGTTGTGCAATTTTTATGGTAAAACTCACTTAAATCATAATACGTGTCACAATCTAAAAGTTTCACACTCTGTATGGCGAAATTTATTTTTAAAAAAATTAATATTTTTGCCAGCCGCATTGGCAAAAATAATATCACGTGGACTAATACACCCCAGACAAAAAAATTGTTTAAAAAAAACTATATATTAAGAATTTATTTTTAAGTTTACATTATTTAAATAAAAAAGCCTAACTAGAGAGTATATCGAAATCTAATTTTGTTTGGGTTTTGTCAATTCTTATTAGGCGTTGAAACTTTAAAACTATCTCGAAAGAAAATTTCTGGAAATACAGTTTGCAGGTCTTGACCGCATATCTTGAAGATAGTCAACCAAACGTTACAGACAACTTGACACTTGACAGCGTCATGAAACCGTTCTTATAGTGGCAAATATCATACGATTTCATAAATTAGCCTTGTCACAACCTCTTCTTTCTATCGTATGACAAATTTTGTTCAATTTTCATGATCAATTCTGGCAATATTATGACACAAACTCTTGCCTCCAGCTGTTAATTTTTATACAGAATTTTATTGACATTTTTTATGCTTAAAACTTAATTCACATTTAGCATTTAGTATTTTTCATGGTATCATTATTCCTAATCAAGAAGGCTATGGACCACCGTATATGGTTGGTCAAAATAAGAAGGCTATATAGGACTGTCTCATTCAATGCTCGGAGATATGTCATTGACCCATGCCTCAGCCAATATGTGGGGCTAAAAGTGCTCTAAGGAGTTAGAAAGCAACCATACTTCTGTGTAAGTATTATTTTCTTTAAATTTTTATATTAATTGAGACGAGGCACTGTCCAAATTATATAAAAAAACATCATTTTATCACGTCTAAAATGATTAAAATTAAAATTCTCTTTTATTTTAAAATTTTTATTTTTGTATCATTTTTATTGAATTTGTGTTATATTATAGCCGTATCATGTCATATCATTTTTGAAATTTCTTCTATCTTCTTATCCGTGTCGTATTGTATGTGTGCTTTATCATATCCATACTTAGTAACTCATGAGCTCTTTGGAGGTTGGATCACTAATGGTGAGCTCAATGGGGCAAACCTCCCCACGTTGCCAAAGAAAAAGAGAATTTGGATCTTATCATAACTAGTGCCACATAGCTGATAGAAACTAATAAGCATGATGATGACATAAAACATGTTTCCGACAAATTTAATGTGTAAAACGTATGACAGAAATCCCATGTCGAGTCTAACACCTAATGTCTGACAGACAGTGCCTTCCTTGTTGATGAAATATAGTAGACACGCAAAAATCACAAACAATCTCATTGCCTATGTAGGAAATAATAATTGTGCGATTGCCAACACTCTTCAAGTCAATTCAATTGCCATAACAATCAAAGAACGCCACAAGGGGGGAAAAATGTTTAAGACATGAATCTAATGCCTTATCACGTGTCCCATTCTCTCAACTGTGATACCAAGTTAGTTGTCCAAGTTCATTGAATGTTAGCTAAGATGGTCTATCCCATTCAAGACATTCGAAAACGAGCCAATGGCTTGAAAATTTAGCCCTCTTGTCCGTCCTGGCGCGCCCCCTTTTAGTGAGGAAACATCCAACATAATCCTGCTAAGCCAAATACAAATCAGTATGATATACTCTTTGGTGCTGAATAAGTATTGTGTTCAGAAGGCTTACAAATTCTTTGATTCCTTCTCTCCTGAGCCATTGCAGTTTATAATGATTTTGTTATCAATTTTTGACACTGAATGGTCCATTGGTATATTAATCTCTCTAGGGCCTGTTGGATTGGCAGATTAAACACGTTAATTTATCTTAATGACTTGAAGTTGTTGAGCTACATGAGTTTATTTAAGAAAATTCTTACCCGATTTAGGTGGAGCACTGACAAAACCATCTAGTCCCAACAATTTCTGTATCAATGGATAATTTATATCAGGATGATTAATGGTTAAAAAACATCTCAAAGTTTTTGCTTAAGGAGAATTTACCTTAAGTCTCTCATAACACTCCTCAAGTTTGTCATTGTATAAGATGAAATCAAATATGCAAGAAGATTTCCCTTGTTCAATCTCAGCCTCAGCATTACGTAGTCGCTTTAGGATCTGTTCCTCATTTTCTGTCCCTCTGGTTTCAAAGCATTGGTTTCAGCTCAAAATTGTGGCCTGGTTGAGAATTTTAAAAAATACACAAGTCAGCAGTATCAACTCACCGGTCACGAAGGCGCTTCTCCAGCTCTTCCATTGATGGGGGACAGATAAAGATGAATATGGCTTCAAGAGAACTAGCCCTCACAGATCTTGCTCCTTGAACATCAATATCAAGAATACATCTCTGAATCAATTAGAGAAAAAATAAATCATTATCTCAGACGAGAGAAGTTAAAAATAATATCTACAGAAAGGCAATCTTACAAAGTTGAAGTAAAACTGAACCCATAATAATCAAACAGAAATTTAATTTCATTACCAACATGAAACAACACCAGAATACATTCCATTGTACATATTAAGTCTTAATTTGATTCTGACAATAGTAAGAACCTTCTATAAATGCCATTGTAGTTACTAAGTGTAATCTAATAATTACTAGATTTACCTGACCCATTATGCGCTGATTTATAAAATTGTTTTTATTTAAAATAATTAATAATAAAAATTATTATAATTTTTTTTTTAACAAATTTTTTAGGTATATTTAATTAAAAGCAAGGCTCCATTGAAGAAAGCTTGTTTTGGATAGCATGATGAGTAAGGCATGCCAGCAATTTCGTGTTCTAAATACCAAAGCTTCCAACAAAATGAGTATCAATAATAGTTAAGTACAAGGAACTTACTTTGCCTGCATCTGCTACCAATTCGACAGCCTCAACACTGGTCCCGTACAGATTACCATGGACAGAAGCAAACTCAAGAAACTTTCCAGCTTTAATCTCTTTCTCCATTATACTTTTCTCAGTAAAATGGTAATGGACCCCATCTTTCTCCATACCTCTTGGAGCACGAGTGGTGTGACTCACAGAGAAGCCAAACATGGATGGAAATTCCTTCATCAGCATTGCTATCAGTGTTCCTTTACCCACTCCAGAAGGACCACTAATAACAATAGGCTTCTCAGCATTGCCTATCACACCTTTACTCCATGCAACAACCTCGGTCCTCAAATTTTTTTGCTGCTGCCTAACATATTGGGTGTCAACCTGCCAATAATGAGAAAATGAGATATTTAACATTTATTAGGCAATCATAGAGATCTACTGTTACAGAGGTTCCACGCATTAATAGTCCTTTGTCATTATATTAATAGACTAAGGATTGGATCTTCAAAACACCAACCTCCAGGAACCATATTTGATCATCTGGCTTAGAACCCTTCTTAAGAATCAGGATTCGATCTTCCAAAGGCACTGCTGAGAGGCCTTTGCATAACATGGGTTTCGTGCCATGCACAGTGGGATGAACCCTGCAATTTAAAACAGATATCAGGAACAAAAGCCTCAAAGAAGCAGCTACCAAGCTGAGAAACCTTAAACTGACCATTCTCCAAGATAAGGGTCAAAAATTTGAACTTCAATGGACAAAGTTCCATCATCAGCTCCACCAATGACATACTGTCAAACAAATGGAGGCCCACTTTTTGTTTTAGGCACAAGATTTCGCTAGGCACTAATCTAATTATGAGTAACAACATACACAGAGATTATCTTTATAGCATATTGCATAAACTCACCGTCTTATCACCAACTGTAGCAGTTGTTTTGCAAGCTCCGTTTTTCAATTCAAGGCCATTAAGAGGCCCATCCTGCATGTCATCAACAAGCAATGCTGGTGCTTCTCCCTAGTTATCACAACCAAAGAGAGATCAGATACATTTAAGCAAAGCCACTTTGATCCACATTCAAACACCATAACCTATTTGCATTCTACTTGAAACAAGACAATTTTTCAAACTGTAACTATTCCAATCCTCAACCAAACCGCAGGGAAAAGGGGTGCTCACCATAGAGAGATCTGTGCCTGCAATCCTGCTTTAAACCCTGAACGAAAAGCAAGAATACCATATCAATTACCAAGCGATCTAGCAACATAAACAGATTTAAAAATTCGATTGTAAAGGAATAAAAAAAACAAAAAGAGAAGAAACTCCAATGAAATTGGCAAACATTCAAGTTGTAACATAAAAAAAAAATTTAACAGTAAAAAAATCCCAATGAGATTTATTTACATAGAAAAACCCCAGATTTCATCAACCTTCTGAAAAACAAGAGCCATAGACATAAGTGACAGGAATTCAACAAGCCTTGAATTTTATCCAACATATCTCTCTCTGATCCCTTGTCATATAAAATCCAAAGACAAGCATTAATGCTTATTTTATCTTAAAAAAATGTAAAACCGTTCAGAATTAAGGAAAACCAACTTGAAAATTGAAACCAAAAAAACAAAACAAAAATACAAAATTTTGGAAGCGGGGGCAATAGAGGGAAAGTGCAGGCAATGAGAAGAGGAGATTCAAAAGGACAAAACCCAGATCTTAATGGGAAAAAAGATGAAATCTTGAAGAGGCTGATAGCGGCAATGTTAAAACAATAAATATACCTGCGCGAAGAAGGGCTGTGTTTTCTGAAGTTGAATTTGTGTGTTAACAAATAAGAACCTTAAATCAAATTAAAAGGAAGCGTGTTGAAGGGAGAGAGAGAAAGCGTAGTTGCTGTTGATGCTGTGATGAAATTGCAACGAAGGGTTTGGAAGAAAATGTGAGGAAGAATTTCATATTTGTAGGCACAAAAGCTAAAAGGGGCGGCTTTCGTTTAGGAGCAAAGCAAGCACGACCTGTTTTTCGTTTTCTTTTGTGGTGAAGCTTCTTCTTTTTGTTCATTTTATTATTATTATTATTTTGGAAATTTCCAACCTTTTTTATTTTCTTATAAATCAAAATTAAAATCCTGGGCCACCCTTATGTCGACAAAATATAAAGATGTGACCTATATATTCAAATGATGAAGTGAAGGAGGTTTTGACAAGTATGGTAAGGGAACTTTGTGCTAAGACTAGTGTATTTTTTTAAGAAAATCCTCTTATTTGTCTTCTCATTATTTTGAAAACAAGTATTAAATAATGTATATAAAATAATAAATAATAAATGCTATAAGTTTAAATTTTGTATATAAAAAAATCTTAATTATAAAACCTAATCTACTATGTTTTAAATTTTTTTTACTTAACAAATATTTCTTTTAAAAAATATTTATGATTTAACAAAAACAAACCAAATCAAATATATTAAGAGAAATAAAATATACTACTTATGAATGAATAATGATAAGAAGGCAAAGTGAAAGCATAAATGGGTTCAATGCATCGCACTGAATTAAATATTAATATTTTACTCTTTTGATCTTTTTTATAAAAAATAAAATTAAATATTTTTTTGTCTTTGTTATAAGAAACAAACGATATATTTAAGCTGCATTAATTACAAAAAAAATTATATATTTTTATTATTATTGTTATTAAATATATAAATTACTAACTATATTATTTAATATCATAAATTTTTAAAATAAATTTTATATTTATGAAAAATATAACATATTTAATTATTATTTTTAATCATAATAATTTAGTCTTTTGTCTTATAAAAAAGACCGAGGAAGTATTAAATAAAAATTATTTAATTTTTTATCTAATTTTTTAAATTAGTTGCTTTAGAATACCTCTTAACATATAATTATGTTGTTGCTTGAGTTTCAGCTTAGATTTTACTATTCTTTTTGTCATAACTTATAGTTTACAGTAAATGTAATTAAAAATATTTTTACTATTAATTTATTTATCCAAATAAATTTTTATTAAAGCAAATAGATTTAAAGATATAAAATAATAGTATATTTACATCATAATTTATCTTTAATATATTTTTAGAAGTTGTGACTCTTAAAATAAAATGTTTTGTTAATTATTTTTTTCACGTAATGTAATGTGGTATCGTTATTTTAGGTAAAATGTATTATCTTTTCATATATATTAAAAGTATAATTTACTTTTTAAAATGAGAGTATGCAAATTTTTTAATATTTTCACTTTTTTTTCATTTACCATAGTCTATTTTTAATGTAAAACATTATCTTTTAAAATTATTTATTTTAATATAATAGAATATTAATTTTTTTAAAAATTTATTCTTTTATAAATTAAATAAAATTATCATTGTATTTATTCTTAAATATTTGCACTAATTTCTTATGTTCAATTTCCAATAGATCTTTTATATTAGAACTTAGTTTATTATTAATAATTTAATAAAATTATAAACTTAATAATTATTTGTATTTATATAGTAAAAGATATAATAATGTTACAGATAAATTACTTAATTATTAAAGTTAACTTAAATTTGCTTACAAACTTTAACATACATGAAAAACTAAAACTAAATATTCAAACGTTTCTAAAGAATCTTATATACGTGTATCAAAGTATATTTATAAGTTTGTCATATTTCGTAGTCGATCTTGTTACAATAGGTTTGATAAGTGTGTAATTTTTAAATTTTGGAATGTGCTCCTTTAATTTTAAGTTCTTATTAGAGATTATTTTATTTTATATTTTTTAAGTATATATATCTTGAGAGCTAAGAAAAAAATATAGAAATAAAAAGAAATATAATTGAAAATGTGATAAAAAAAAAAAGATAAACCATAATAAGCATTCAAAAAATATAATTAATATGATAGCTAATGATCTTAGAATTATAAAAATAATTAGTCATTTAATTAAAAATTATATACGCTATTGTTAAGTAACAAAATAAAAAATTAGATAACAAAGATTAGAATTATAATTACAGAATTGTTTAAATAACTTTTTATATATAATATATTTTATTATTATAATATAAATCTTTTTTATTAAATTTAAATATATATATATATATATATATATATATATATAATTGAACGTAATTCATATTTTTAATTCAATCTTATTTACAACGCACGGCTAATATGTTAATTTTGTATCATACAAGTTACAAACTTAATTTATAACCTAGTGATGGATTTGCATTTGATATGTGCATCACTGGCTACATGCCTTTACGTCTTTAATTTTCACGCTACATTTTCATTTTGTTTATTATTTATACACAGCGATAGTTAATGCATGAATCAAGCATAAATTTAGCTATTTGTTGATATATAATTTTTATTATATTTTTATTAAATTTAAATATATATAATTTAACATAAATTTATATTTTAATTTAATTTAAATTTTGCAAAGCACAGGTAATATGCTGATTTTGTATTATACTAGTTAAATAATTTATAAAGCAGTGATGGATTTTCATTTGATATGTGCATGACCAGTTACATGCCTTTACGTGCTTGAGGAGTAGTACAATATGTCTGATGCAGGTTTATATATATATATGTATGTATAATCAAAGTTACTTTAAAAAAAAAATTCTTCAAAAACAATTTTTTAATTCTGTAATAATGAAATATAAAATAGTGGAAATTTTTTATAAATGTAAATATAATTATCTACAAAAAATTTAAAAGTTTATATCTCTAAAGTTAATTAAAAAAAGCTAAAAACTAAACCAGTTCTAACAAAAAAAAAAAGTATATTTCACCCATAATTTTCAATAAATTTTAATCCTAGAAAATAGACATGACTTTGAAAAAAATATTAACTCTAATAATTTTTAATCTTAAAAAATATAGGTACAAAAGAAAGAATATCTCTACGTAACATCTCACTTTTTAAATAAAGTGATTAATTGTCACTCTACATTTTAATTTTGTTTATTATTTATAGACTGCTATTTTAAATGCAAGAATCAAGCATAAATTTAACTAATTCGAGATACATTTCATGGGAATACTTAATAGAAAAGTCACGTAATAAAATAATTGACTTAAAAAAGTCAAAATTAATTTAATTGTTATATGTATTTAATTTCTTAAGCAAAATGTTGACTTCAAATTTGTGAATAAAAAATATATTATAAATATTTTCAATTTAAACATAACTATAAAACATAAAAATACATATAATTTAGTCGAGGTAAGGATTACATTGCATATTTATTATACGGTGCATAGAGTTTTGACTCTTAAGCTGCGATGTCGTTATGTAACAAGCTAGCTAATAACATTTTTTTATATGACAGTAAATCGCATATTTACAAAGGTTAAATCATAGCAGTCAAATTTGACGTTACTTTTATTATATTTAATGTAAATGATAATTAAACTATAACTCATTCATTAAAACAGAGAGTTTGACTGTTATTATTATCTTTAAAAACAAGTAGTCGAAGGTTTAGGCTAAATTATCCTAATCATTTTAAAAATGAATATCAGTCTTCTATATGTTTCTCACCTTTAACTAACAACTTCTTCAAAAAAACTGTTCGTAGCCGATTAACTTTTTAAGAAAATGCGTAGTCAAAAGTTTTAAAAGTATAGAACACTAATAAACTAGGTGATGTTTTACACTTCCTTCCTTTTACTATCGTTAGCAATAGAAAATTAGACATCACAACAAGTGAATAAATTTTGACATGTTATTATATTTGAAATCACTTATTAATTTTTAAAACATCAATTTCCTTTTAGAATTAAGTTTTTGTTTTATGTTAATTTAATTTAATTTTATAAAATGCAATGTGACCATATGATGGTTTATAATTTTTGAAGGTTCATTATATTCTCATATAACAGCATGCATCAAGTTTCGTACGTATAGTCTTTAGTCGGTGATCACCCCAACCTCCTCTTACACTTGGCTAAAAGTTAGGCTTTGCACGAAACTTCCTTTGGTGCTTATTGATAAGGTATGGTACAATAGAAGGGCCCTTAATTAATTTCCCTTCCCTTGACCAAAGTTTAATTAAGCATTTTTATTTGTCTAGAAGCAGATATAGAGAATCATTCAATTCCATTTCTTCTTCAACTGTGTTAGGTAAGTCGGCAGACTCAGTCAGCTGAATAAATTCTCAGCAGTGTGAGAGTGTGACCAAATTCTTGGATCTTTTTAATATGTTGACCCACAATAGAAAGCAACCCTAACTCATTAGTCTTTCTAGTCCTCTTAGATGATTATTCTTTTTCCGCATAACCCAAAGGAGCTTATTATATTCCAGCATTATTCTTTTGTTCATCCTCATATACCTATAAATGTCCATTGAAAAAATACGTTGTGATCGATATATTAAAAATTATAGTAAATACAGTAGAATAAAAACTTTTCACTATTCTTTAACTAATATATACTTCCAAAACATGGGTTAACAGTATATGTGTAGTGTCTCTTGTCAACGTTGTTGTAAGCATTTCATGACACTCCGGCTAATTACAGTGCTTACGCAGGTCAGATTATATTTTGTGCTAATTAACAGTCTAACTCGTATTAACTGGTTGCAAGTAGGGATGGGAATATAAGATTATTCTGAATATAGGAATTTCTTACCCAAAAGCAAGTGGCAAAGAATACAAAATTATATACCTCCAACCACTTATATTCTATTCCATAAATCGTAGCAGATTCAAAGTTGTATTTTAGTGAAGTTAATATCTCATTTACGGTTCAACTACTAGAGCTTTTCTAAAGTTTATGATTAGTGTTTATCGAGTTTGTTCAGAATATTTTGATTTCACGTATAAACTTACTACCAAAAATAATTTTTTTCCCTAATACTCAAGATTTTGTGGCAAGTTATGAAATATCGTGTCATTATATGAAATTATTTTTTTCCTAAAGCCTATGCAATGTAATATTTAGCTTTTGTCATCTGAAGCCTGTGCAATATGGTTTTCTTTTTTGTAAATTTCTAACAGAATTAT